TTGTACTGTAGCCTTGCAGGATAGCGTGTTCATTACAGTGGTTTGATTGAAAAGACACAGGGTAGAGGAGAGGGGTGACCTTCTCTTCTCTAGTCCTCTCATTTTGATTTGTCTCTGGAAAAATATTGGACCAAGGGTTGGGAGAAAGATAATGCTACTAGAGAAAGTGCACCTTATCCAAGGTCGGTGTTGCATTTCTTTTATTGCCCTGAGCTTATTTCATGAAAAAAAGAAAGAAAAAAAGAAAAAGAAAGATATTCTGTCCTCTCTCAACATAATTCTGAAAATGGAACACCATACTGTATAGATGGCATCCTGTGATAATGATGTGGTTGGTGCAGAAGTGTGCTTGGTCAGCCAAATCCCTGGCCACACAAATGTGTCTGCTGAGGCAGGGATTCCAGCTAGGACTTACCATAATACTGCTCTCATTACAGTCCAGAGGAACACGCATGTGTGTGTGCTCTTCCACACACACACATACACTTGTATGTGTGTGTGTGGTGAATGTGTGTGTGAGTGTGAGTGTGAGTGAGACAGTGAGTCCCTGTGGGCATTTGGCTGTAGCACTGGAGAAGATAAGGTAGTCTGATGTCTCCTGACATGGTCAATGATTCATAATTGAGGCAGGACAGCTGTTGCTGGGTGCACTGACAGGTCCCAGGGTGGATGACAGATGATAGGGCCCTCTGGGGCTGAGCTATCTATCAGTCCAAATGTTCTCTGTCCACTATCTGCTCACCTATCCTTCATAAGCCTCCCTGATATATGTAAACCAAGTAGTCACAGATCCGCAATCTTGTTCTGCTCACTGAATATGATAAGTTGTTGCAGTATCAAAGACTACTGTCGATACCGTATCCAAGGTGGACATCAAATAATTAAGAATCCAATTTACAATCAAATTATCTTCTGTGTTTCAGTGAATTCAAATGCTGTTTTTAAACAAAGCCACAAAAAGCTCTTAAGTGAATATTAAAAATGACAAAAATAAAATTTTTTAATATTTAATGTTCTGCACCATAGACAAAGCAACATTTATAAATCAGAGCTTTTCTAGCAGGTCCACCACAAGCCCATGATAGTGAGAGTAAGTATGCTACGAAAGTGTTTGTTTCATTGTGCTCTGGAAGCCACTATATGGATGTCTCCTCTGTTAAGACACTTTTATTGTGAGTTGCAATAAAGGTGTCACAGCAAGTGTTAATCTTTTTTTAAGGCATCAACATCAAACGTCTGAAAGCCAGGACAAAACACATTGGTGACAAAAAAATGATGCACTAAAGTAAACCAGTGGGATTATGTAATGTTTTACACTGTACAGTATATACTAGAGGGTTTTTTTTCTCATTTCAGAAGGAAATTATTGTATTTATAGCACAGAAAGACTTCTTATCTCACAGAGTGAACTTTACATTTTGCATGTGCTTTTACCTGGAACAACTGTGCATCTGGGAATCGCCACTATCTGATTAGTAACTACAAATTAATTATAGTTTCCTCAATAACTGTAACTGCACAATTAAATGTACATAATAACACAATGCAGTTAAGATGACATCATTCACATCTGTTTTCTACGGCTCTCATTTGCTAAATTTGACAGGCTAAATTGCAATTCCACATTGACTACGTTTCAGTCTCATTCTTTGAATATATCAGTGTGACTGTTAAAATCAAGGAGAATTACTGTGCTCTCCTGTGAGCCTGTAGGGAGAATTATTAGGTTATAAAACAGTCAAATAACCTAAATAATCTGATTTCCAAAAACACTGTGCCCACAGCCTTGTCATTCTCATTACCCTTGAGGAATTGAGAATCTGATTCTAAAGTCACGTTTCATTCTTTTATTACTCACTGTGACACTCCTATTTAAGGCACATGCAACTATGCAACTCCAAAAAAAAAAGCATCTTGGCATCTTTGACCTGATGACTGACTGCTTGTTGTGCACCTTGTATCCCAGAAAACCTTCAGAGATTGGGTTTAAATCTGGCATTGATTAAAAAAAATCAAATCAAAGTGGCTGATCTCATGGATAATTCCGGAAGAAGTCACCTCTAAGCTCAGGCTTGCAGCGTCCATCAGCCTCTCTGCAGTCATTGTCAGCACCTCCTCGACTGAGTGACAGTTTGTCTACGTGACCAAATTCATTTTGCTACCATCGTGTGACTAGTACTCATCTTGCCCACTGTCTCAGCTTTTCCAAGCTGCTGCACTAACAATCCTGCAACATAGCCTAGGGCAACCTTTTTTTTGCCTCGTGACATACCTGAAACCTAAGCCCACTACCTGTGACAGCATTCAGTTTCACATACTGTGCCGACCTCTTGAGTTTTATACATGGCTCGGAAAATGGGAAGATATTTCAGAAGACATTTATTTAAACATATGCAAACATAAATGAAAGTATATAAGGCAAAAGTTTAGAGTTACAGCAACAGTTCACAAAGTTTTACCAAGCTTAAGTTTGTGAACATCTCTTGTGTTGTTCTTCTTCTTGTGTTCTTGGCAGAACTTAGTCTTTTCTCATAGTTTTTCATAGTTTCTTGACCTTTCCAGTAAGACTATTTCTAATGATGCTTTGACGAACAGTAGACTGATAAACCAAAGAACTAGTGTCAGATCATTGCTTAATTGTTTGTTGCTTAAAGATGTGACTTTCAGATACAGTTCATGCGCTCCCAATAGTTTTTCAGCCTGACACTCCTTTTATCCTCCACTTGTACAGTTTCCTTCGAATTTTTAAGGATACACTGGACACCAATGCCATATCTTTTGGCAATCACCTTGTTGGTGCAAAAATACAATGACACAAACTGTGTCATCTTTATTTTTTGTAGATTCAACTAAAGACATGGAAAAAAAATATATGTTTTTGCGACATGCTACTAATAACAAAGGTCCAAAAGATATAACCTGTGAGTGTCGCTTTGCTAGGTTGTCTATTATGTGTAGACACAAAACAGGTTCATCTACTGATTTTAGGTGCCTCCTTCATGCTTGAATAATTCATAGTTCAGTATTAAATGGCTTAACAATCAAACAAACTGTCTGTTTATTTACAGCAGTGGGTACAAACAGCAACGGGGTGTGAACATGAAACCGAAACCTAAACTGGGTAAACTAACAACACAAACCAGGAATGACGGTGCAGGGAGGTCCGGGGAAATACATACAGGGAGACCGAGGGGAAACAACACAGATGAACCAGCGATTACTAAGACAGAAAATACAACTTAAATACACTCAGAACACAGGGAGATTACACACAGGTGGGAGACACAGCTGGGAGTGATTAACATGACGAGACCAGGGAGGCAAACTGAAAACACTCACATAAGACGCAGACCTTCACAATAAAACAGGAACACACGGGGGGAACAGGGTAAACACCAATTAGAGAACAGAACCAAAATCGCGAAGAGAAAACACAAAACGCTGGGTCAAAAGGACCCAGGATCATGATACAAACAAACAAACACATTTCCTCTGAAAATGGTTGGGTGCAAAGACTTGACTGAATATGAAGGAAAAAGCAGCCAATGTTCGAAGAATAACTTTAAAAGATCTTTAGAAAGCCTGAAGAACTATTGTTCAAGACCACTTCAAAAACAAGAAAGACACGAGGAGTGGTTTAATTTTACAGATTACTGTATAGAATTACTTAAGATTATTTAGCTGCTTGGCCACCAACATCCTGTTGCGCTTCAGTTTTCTATGGCAGCGGTTTTCAGAGCAATGTCTCAGCGTACTCTACAACCTAAAGAAAACAGCAATTAGCTTTAGAACATAGTGAACCATTTATCAGACATTCACAGAGAGACTGGTCGAGACCAAAAATAGTGCTGAAAGGCAAGATTAGACTTGCATTTTCCAAGTGGTCAGAAAAAGAAACCCGGCTATAACTGATGTGCACAACATGATAAACAACAAATAGAAGACGCAGGAATTTATACAAGGGCAAACTGAGAACTAATAATGGGAGTGGAAACAGCTCTGGAACAAGAACAGGGGATGACAATCAACGCAACGAGATAGGCGAGAAAGTAAAACTAAATACAACACGAGAGAAAGCAAAAGGCAACAACTCTTATCTGGAAAACCAAGAGCTGACTAAAAATAAAAAGCCAATTTAAAAAAGTAGAAAAAAGTCAAATGATGATAGAAGAATATATATATACAGGACACAGGGGAGGGGAAGAAAATAACAAGCAAGGAACTAAATAATTACTAGGACTCTAAGGTAAGCTAGCAAGAACCAAACTTCAGCATGAATAATGCAAAACTCAAAGAACCATAAACTATGCAAAACTCAAACCCTGGCATCAAGACCCAGGGACCATGACAGACTAAACAATATGTGTGTCAGATGAGAAGAACAATGAATTATAAAATCCCATCAACCTACAATGACATAATCAGAATGTTCTAGCAAAACCCAGTGATGAATGTACCATCTTTTATTATCATATAGAATGATGATTAGGATCTGTTGTTGGATTTTTATTTTCCTTTTTGACTTCTGCCAATAATTAAATAAATGATGCTCCAAATGTCTTTACACAGACCGTTTTACTACATACAGTAGTCCTGATTCCTTTGCCAAATTTAGCTGCAGATTCTGAACCCAAGACATAAGGCGTTGCTAACAGACTATTCTGCAGGCAGGCAGAAAACATAGAAGAAGAGGAATTGTGCAACAAACCATTAGTGGAATGACTCAGATAGATTCTACTATTAGTCAAAAATATGTTTTCATCCCAGCTGCAGGTTATCAAAGAAATGAAAGCAAACATGTTTTCTGAGGGGGAATATTAAGGGTGAATACATATGCTCAAACTAGTACTGAAAATAATATGTATGCAATGTAACATTTGATAATGTGTTGGTCTAATAAGAGCCTTTGCAGTTCTGTTGGAAAATTGTTTTTTTTGTTTTGTGAAATTGCACCAGTGAGAGCTGTTGTTTAATCTTATTGCATGGGTGTGTTTTTTTAGGTGCTAAATGTGAGCGTGTTGGAAGGAGAGCAGGTGACCGTGGAGGATACAGGAGGTCAAGAACCCTTCATCCTTGCCAATGAGTCGGTCTTGATGACTGGCTTAGTGCTACGCAGCTGGAGCAACCAGATCTCTATCAGTCTCCGTAGTGAGAAACGCCGCAATTCAGCATATCTCCTACTCCATTACCAAGGTGAGCAGAAGCTATACATTACTAGCTTTGGTGCCACATCATTCAAACACGTTACATTAAACATGACAACAGCTTATTGTTAAGCAGCAGCTTTCTATCAGGTAATGCTTATCCTCAAGCAAAGATGGTGCAGAGCTGGTGAGAGGCTGCAAAATGGTTGACTAATTGCATTTAAAATTGCTCTATTTCAAAACACTATCTGTTGACCTTCAGCTGGGCAATGATGTGTATGTGCCTTTTCCATTTAAATTTTTTCATTTGCCATTTCACGGATCACATTTGTAAAGAATCATTAAGTGTAATAAAGTAGTATCTGGTGTGTCAGCCGCAAATCCTGTCAGTAGAAATAGTTACTGTGTTGTTGGTGAATATAATGGCCTATAATTTCCAACCTCTCCCTCGCTTATTTTGTGTGTGACATTGATCTTCTATGTCTGTAACAATGTCTGTTTATCTTAGCAATCACACAAAGTGGCCGCCAATTACATGCCCCATCGATTTGAGCTGACGGTGGTCGCTGGTGGACAATTCATTCTACCACATTACTGTGGTACTTTCATCAGCTAGAAAATGAAAGGGGCCATCAGAACTGTGCGGCTGATGTGAGATAAATCAGCCCATCGCTGTTGGATGTTTGAATATCACTGTGAGGTCAGGCCGAATGATGACAGTGAAGGGTCACCACAGAACATACAGGGTGATGTATAGCTGGGAACACATGGTGATAAACAGTTGAAATATATATGAGTATTATTTTATATCAGTTGGTACACTTTTCACCTTTACCTGTCCCATTTGGATTTTGCATTGTTTAAACACCTCAAACTCAATTGAAGTAATGCAATGCAAATGCAAAAGTACAAAAAATAACATTGAATACATAATGTACTCTATAATATACAGGACATCCTTAAGTGAATAGCATACCTCCACCTTGGCATTGAAATTATGCATGCTGTATTTGCTGTAAAAAACAAACAATTAATTTCTATATTATCCTATATTGCACCAAAATAAGTCAACATTTTGCTGTGCTTCTCAGTTTTAACATTAGCAGGGCATTTTTTCCCAAAATTCCTGCCCACTATGAAAACAATTTAACATAATAGGCTTCCGTGTTATACTTCTTTGCCAACAATGTATCAAAAAAATGATCACACATGCAGCCTTGTCCGTCTAAAAACCTGTTTGGTTTGAAAGTTGATGGAACAAATTCAGCTACATTAATGAGAAAAATAGCAGGAGCAGATTTCATGAAGATTAGACATATCGGAGTCACGGAAGATATTTCAATTTGTGTTCTTCTGCTTTGCAAGTGGGGTATCTTCTTGTCCTTTACAATGGACTGTGAGAAATGTAATTGGACAAGCGTGGAGAAGCAGATAGAACTGTGGAGAGACGCATCTCAGCTCGTCTGTAATTAATATTTGCTACAGCACGAGCTTGTGATGGCAGACTGATGTATCTGTCTATAACAAGAGCAGTTTGACACTTGGAAAATAACTTAAAGTGTTTTTTACTGTTTATGTTAAGAGAACATAAAGTGTGGGAATGAAGAGGGGCTTACCACTCTCCTCATATGTTCTTATCAGCGTCTTTTTCTCAATACCCCCACATATGTTTGTGATCTTATCTAGAATTGAAAGTATAGTTAATAATATCATCTTAAGAGAATGTATGTCTCGATTGTTCAAATATTCTCCTTAAAAACTGATTTTGTTAAAAAAGGAAAAATCCGAAAAAATACTTACAGTTAGGGATTTTTCTTTTACTTTTTCTAATGCACAGATTAGCCATTACATGAAACCCGGTGACAGATGAAGTGAATATGATCTGATGTGATTGAGCAATCTGAATGAGCATCAACGACATGCTGTGGATCAAGCCCAAATCCATGGAGATTCCGGCCCACAAACCCACAGAACGCAAAAGAGCTTCTGCCAGTGCTGTGTGCCAGACTCTGCATGATGCCAGCGTAGGTTTCATTACCATGCTGCAGTGAGTTAGAGCTGCTTTGGAGGCACAACAGGGAACGCTATATGACGTTAGAGGTTTTAATGCTGGGGCTGATTAGTGTACAGTTTTGGTATTAATAATAAAGGAGTTGGGTCAATTAAAAAAAAAAATGCACACAACGAAATAAGCACCCACCAATACAATTTTTTTTTCAAATTCAGGCATCTAGTCTCTGTAGGATTAAACTGAAAACAATTTAATTTTTCAGTAAGGCATTGCTGTTTAATATAAAATAACAATGTGAAAAATTTATGATCTTGCTCTTTCAATGAGAAGAATCGGTTTAAATTTAAGTTTTAAAAATGAAATTGCATACTACAGTGCAAGTAAGGATTATGACTTATTTTATCCCAAACCCATCCCTGCTTTCTGAAAACTTACTGCTGATGAGTAAAAGTAAAGCCCACCTTTCGGCTATTTTATATCTATAACATACATAAAGAATTTTGTCTGAATTAAATATAATACCGATGTAATGTCTGTAATATTAAATGTAATACTGTCAAAGCCTTATTTGATTCCAAAATGTTTGATTGAAATTATTTACAACCTCTTAGCATTGAGATGATGATATAATAATTGTATGGTGAGCTAGGAGTTTTTAGCTGTATGAAGTAATCCATGCTGCTGATGGCAGCGGTGTTTCACAGTAATTATTCATTGTTTTTAACTTAAAACCTGCAACGACAAGAGATGTGGTCAGAGGACCCCTGCCGCTGGTAGCAATCCAGCACATGCCACCTGTTCTAAGTAGCATTGATAAGATTCTTGTCTCTAGTTCAAAGTTATTGCTTTTTAATAGCCTTTATTGAGTAAATGGCCATTTCGATTGAGGCTTTAACCAAACCACATAAATATCAATAGGCTATATCACTGCGGAACTATCGTCTGGCTTTGTACAAGTGAGGCACTTTACCAGAGACAACACTATTGATGTTTCTATAAAAGGTAATGCTTTGATGCACAGCCAGGTCATGTGGCTTAGATATATATTGACAGCCACACTCTCCCACATGTCGCCTACAAGCCGAACGACTGATGTTATATCTGTATATTAAACCAATAACTGACTATAAAGATGACTAATCATTGCCATGGAATCTTCGCTTCTTGCACATTTTACTCTAAATGTCAGTGTAACACACAATGGATAATATTTTCCAAATATCGTGCCATTATATATAATAACAATCTACACTACATTCATTATCTGTGTTGTGTTTTCTGTCACCTCATTTCATTATCTGCTGCCATTTTTGATCCTATTCCAGCTCTCCACCTGAAGGGATTCAGGCAACGCATACAGGAGTGTAAGCGTTTATTAGAGCTAAATTGAAATGCATTTTATTTGTTTGGCCAAATACACTGTGGGTAACTGACTATTACTAGCTTCCTCAGCTCATCTATTGTGCCCTAGTCAACAACATTTGTCCATCATTGGTTGAAGAGCAGCATTCTCAATTTGAAGTACTCAGGCAGATGAAAAATGTGCATACAGCTGAATGAGGCTCATTAATGGAAGGAATGTGTGAGTGCATGCAGGTGTCGCATCAGGCGTTCTTTTGGGAAATGTTTACTTTCTTTAAATGTTTTCGAAGGTTGATCTTAAGTAAATGTCGATAGAGGACGGCAGAACGGGGAACTCATTATTGGATCCCAAATACACATTTAGAGTTCCACATTTGAAATTCAAGTTTGTTTTTTGTGCCAACATGTAGGTGTGAAAGGGCAGGAAGCAAAATAAAAAGCATACTTTATATTCAATAAAGACAGTACAAATCCACAGCTTGTGCACAGAGAAAGAGAATAAAAGAGAGAGTGAGTGAGGAAAGAATGGCAAGAATGTTTTTTTGTAATACTGACAAAAATAAAAATAAAATAAAAGACAAAAAAAAAAAAAAAAGACAATTGGCATGTGCCCATGTTCCTTATGGTTATATATTGCTTGCGACAAGGTACAGTGTAAAAATCCAGAAGTGTTTTGAGCTACTTTTCCTCTTCTATTTTTAATATTTACTAAAGTGACATTTTATTCCATATAGTGTGGCATTTTTTTCAGGAACGCTTCATTTTGACATCATCCATTGTAATATCTGCCGATCAGGCATAGCATTATGAGCACTGACAATAGTAACACTGATTATCGCTTCATCATGTCACCTGTTAGTGAGTGGGATATATTAGGGAGCAAGTGAATATTTTGTCCTCAAGGTTAATGTGTTAGGAACAGGAAAAATGGGTGAGTGTAAGTATTTAAGTCTGAAAAGGGCTAAATTGTGAGGGCTAGACGAACTCAAAAGTGGTCCAAAGAAGGAACAGTGGTGAACCAGGTCCTGGGTACTGATAGGGTCATGGAATACAACATGATCCGATCTAACATAAGTAGTAGTTGAAACTGCTGAAAAACTTAATGCTAGTTCTGATAGAAAGGTGTCAGAATACTGACAGAAGTGCATCCCAATTTGTTGTGTACGGGGCTGAATAGCTGCAAACCAGTCAACGCTGATCCCAGTCCGCTGTTGACAGTGTCAACAAATGGGAACTTGATCATCATGGGGCGATCGTGGCTCGAGAGTTGGGAGTTCGCCTTGTAATCGGAAGGTTGCCGGTTCGAGCCCCGGCTCCGACAGTCTCGACCGTTGTGCCCTTGGGCAAGACACTTGACCCGTTGCCTACTGGTGGTGGTCAGAGGGCCCGGTGGCGCCAGTGTCCGGCAGCCTCGCCTCTGTCAGTGCGCCCCAGGGTGGTTGTGGCTACAAGCTTAGTAGCTTGCCATCACCAGTGTGTGAATGGGTGGGTGACTGGATGTGTAAAGCGCTTTGGGGTCCTTAGGGACTAGTAAAGCACTATACAAATACAGGCCATTTACCATTTACCATCAGAGCTTGACTATGGAGCAATGGAAGAAGGTGGCCTAGTCTGATGAATCACATTACCTTGGGAACCCCTGACACCTGGATGCACTATGGGAAGAAGTCAGTGGAGGCAGTGTGATGCTCTGAGTAACGTTCTGCTAGTAAACCTAGTAAACCTTGGGTCATCCACATGGATGTTACTTTAACACGTGCCACCTGCCTACCCACTGTTGTAGACCATGTACACCCTATCATGGAAAAGGTACTCCTTGATGGGTGTGGCCTCTTTCAGCAGGATATTGTGCCCTGCCAAGAACAAAAAATGGTTCAGCACAGCAATGAGTCTGAGATTTTGACCGCCAAATTCCCTAGTTCTCAATCAAGTTACGCACCTGTGGGATTTGCTGGACAAACAAGAGGGTCCACCTCGCAACTTTAAGGATCTGCTCAGCTACATCTCAGACTCAATAGGCCTCTGTTAGCAGGAGTTAAATGCCAAAGGTCATGAAAGCATAATTACAAAAGACTGAACATGACTTGTTTGGAAGGCTTGCCAGCAGAAAGCCTCTTTTCTCTAAAAGACCATGGTAACATGGCATAGGACTGCAAAGCTGCATCTGAACAATCACAAAATTTCTGGAATAATGTCCTTCAGGCAAACGAGACCAAAGTGGAGATGTTTGGCTATAAACCAACATATTCTAGAGTCATCTATCTAGCATTTAAAACTTGGCTTAAATCCTGTGACGTAACAGGACAATGATCCTACGCAACGCAACAAATGCCCACAAACCTCGATGTACTGAAGCAATGTTGTAAAAGACAGTGGGCCAATTCCTCCACAACAAAGTGAGAGACTGATAAAGTCATTCAGAAAATGGTTACATCAAGTAGTTGGTGATAAAGATGACTCTACAAGCTATTCAGTTGTTGGGTGTACTCAGTTTGTCACCTACACTGCCTCTGCATTTTGGCATCACTTTTGTTAAAAAAAAAATACTGAGCCAGTGTAATATTTATGTCTTTTTGTTCATCAGAGTTTGAGTTTTCCCTGGGTGAGAGTCTGCATTATTTTTTACCACAATCGTACAGTAAATCTGTGGTATTTAAAAGGTAATAAACAATATTTTAATGAGAGAATTTGAATATTCTAATGATACTTTTGCAACTAGCTTATGCATGTACTGTACTACTGTGGGTTTACATGAGTATTACTATGACTATGACTATTTCCTCCCCACTACAAGAAAACAATAACTAAAGACATACGCTTCACATCTGTTTCCTGTGGCTCTACAGCACCATCAGCTAATCTTCCTGGCTGTCTGCACTGTGGATCTATTATTTCTAATGGTGAAACAATCAGACTTTATGGCCCAGCACCACATCTACTGGAATGGAGGCAGCACGTAATTTAATACTTCAGGAATTGGCTCCACAATTTTTGCCTCTGGCTCTCCCACTGCATGCTCAATAGGGATGTAAATGCTGCTATGATAATGGCAATAACTAGGTTCATTGGAGCTAGTGATAAACTATGAATGGAATGGATGACCCAGGGGCAGTGTACCTCGTCCCTGTGGCTCACTGATTTACTGCAACGCAAAGGCCGGTTTCATTATGGTAGAAACCAGTGGCTTGTGTAAAAGAAACACATAAGTCAGTAGTTTCACAAACCTTTATGGCCGTTATGCATTTAGGGCTGTTTTCCCTCGAGTTCAAGTTCAAAGATTGATAGAATGACTTTTTTTTTTTGAATAGACAATTTAGCTTCAAGGTAATGGTAGAAAACATCACTAAAGTGATGTTTTTTCATGTCCAAATGACTTGGTTGAAATGAAAGCGCTTCAAATCCAACCTGCTGCATATTGTCTAATCTGTTTGCACTGTTTAACCTCCACTTGCCCTGCTTTTGTGGAGGTGGGCCAACAACCCTGTCTATGAAGTGTGTGCTATTGCTTTATACATGTGGCTACTGCTCTAGTACTAAACACACCATGTTAAGATGCCAGTCTTGTAGCTCTTTTATTGAGGATCCTGTATCTGTGCTTTTTTGTATTTGAACCAAATTAGACTCGATATATTGAAGATAAACCCATTTCTTGATGTAAACGTACTTTTTTGATGTTACGTAGCCATTTGTGAAATCATGCAAATATATATTAAAATTATGAGTGTTATACAATTCACTTAACTGTGAGCAAGCTACCTTTACCATATATTATCATTATTATTAATTTTGGCCATTGTGCTGTAATTTAAGACTTTAAGGCTGCAAATATGATTTCAGCAAGACAGTTTTAACAAACACATGACTACCAGCTGCCCTTTGCTTTGTTATCGTTGCCTGTTAGCATTTGTTTAGCTTTTGCATCCGCTCCATTAAGCTAAAGCATGTTATACAAGGCTTCTAGCTTTCTGTACTTCTGCAGTCTCACAATCACACTGTTATTGTAGCACAAGCCATAGTGCGTCCAATTATATTCTGTTGTTCACACATTTCCAGAAGTTTAAAAGTTTTAGTCTGGCCATTAAAGTGCCTACACTAATGAGGTAGAACAGTGTGGTTATTAGACAGGAAGAGAAGGTTGTTTAATAGCTTCCATTAAAGACTTGGTTAGCTTACTTCATTATCAAAGTGAACTCCATGCCGTCCTACACCATTTATTTAAAAAGGGAACAGGACAACAATGCATAGCAAGTCTGGGAACATTGATCTTACCCCGCTGCAATCGCAACTCTTTGACAACCACTATAGAGGCTATTCCTCAGCCTAACGTTACAGACCCACTATGATGTTCATCCAACCAACCATGCATCCATTTGTCAAAGTATCTGCAGCAACTATACACCAAACCACACAGTGATGATAATTACTCTAGTGCCAAGAACATGTCTCTGTACATTTGCATACTGTTTGTACTGGTAAACTACAATTAAAAGATGTAGTGTATATAAACAAATCTGAAGGCTGGTTCTAATAACTTCTTTAATTGCATGTTGAAGAGAAACAGGAAGACAGAGACAGATTCATTTGCACAAATTCACAATCATTTTGGATTTAAATATTTATGGGTCTTCAGCAGTGGTTTGGAGGAGAGACAACTTGGTCAACAATGAATACACAATGCAGAACATAGAGGATTATGTTGTGCAGCCAGTTAACATTGTTGGCAGTTTGGTCCAGGACTGGATTGTGCTCAGACAAATAAAAGGCTGAAAAACCCTGGAAAATGATTTTTCTAAATGCTAAATTAAAATAAATAAATAAAAATAACTTAGACCAAGCATGTCCTTTCCCAAAATGATGCATTTAGTTATTTGTGCTGTGATTTCACAGCTGCTAATGGTGAAATCAGTTACATTAAAATGCAATTACTGGTGTTATAGTATAAACATGCTTTGTCTCTCTGTCTCTCTTTCCTATCACTACTGTATAACATACTGAACTTTATAAATCGATACATTGCAACAAAAATTATCAAATTATAATGTATTCATAAGAGCACTTTCATTTCCCTTTCCCTCTATTTTTGACTCCTTCCTCTGCAGCCTTTGTGCTGAGTTGTGCATTCCCCAAAGAGCCTGCTGGTGGAGAGGTTTCAGTGACGCACCTGCATCCCGGCGGAGAAGCCTATTTCAATTGTTTCACTGGATACAAGTTGCAGGGTCCAAAAATGCTCACCTGTCGTAATGCAACCACGCCTTACTGGAGTGGAAAAGAACCCCGATGTGTCGGTAAGGCAAATTCGTTTTCTGGATAGGCAAGTTTCAGGGCAACAAGATCCCCCCACCCACCCAACTGATACTCTAACAATAAAACTGCAAAGAATGTAATTAAACTAAATGAAATCTAAACGCTATAACAGTGGGTTATGGGCTTATCCCTTCAGCTTAATTGGAATGTTGGGTGATTTGGTTTGATATTTAATTTTGCTTTGTAAACTAAATTACCTTCAGGCTCGTTGCCTGACAGTGAGTGTGAATATGTTCAAGTAGTTAACATTGACTGCCAGGCTTTCAAAGCAAACATCTAAGTATTGCTATTAATTTTAATAATTACTTAATTATTCTTATATTTGAGAGTTAAAAGAAAAAAGAGTTAAGGAAAATAATTTGCAAAGTGAAACTCGCAATTTTAAAGACACAAGCCTGTTTCTCTTCAGCTTTCTCTGAGAGAACAGGTGATTTTGATTAACAGAGCCTTTCACCGTGTTGTCTCCTACTGAGTCACACTCGGAGGGCAAATGAGCGTGTTTGCATGTGATTAGCAACACAGGGAGCTGTTCTTTGGAGACGGGGCAAAATAAGGCCATTGGACCTGGCTGCCTTAATTAGAACTGGGCCACATGACTCTCCTTCTCCTGCTGGTAAAAACTCATCTGCTAGTTCCAGCCTTTCACCGCGCCTGCCTGCAGCTGTTCTAAACTGATAGTGTTACTGCCGCTGTTTTGCTTTTACCTTCACAAACAATCAGGCACTCTTAGACCCAGGAGAGCCGCCTGGTGTAGCTCAGCCACAGTCCACTGCATATCGATGCAATCTGTGCTCAGACAGGGACTTTTCTCCAAAATCCCCCTACCACAGTTCGAATCATTACTTTTTTTTCATCAAGTTTTTACTTCCTACTCTTTGTCCTTTTTTCTTTTCTTTTCTTTTCTTTTTCTTTTCATACAGCATCCTGTGGGGGAATGATAAAAAATGCCACATATGGGCGCATCGTCTCTCCTGGTTTTCCTGGCAACTACAGCAACAATCTGACCTGCCACTGGGTTCTGGAGGCACCTGAAGCCCACCGGCTTCACGTTCACTTTGAAAAGGTGGCTTTGGCAGAAGATGATGACAGGTAGTTTATGTATGCTGTTAAAATCAAAACACACATTGAGAATAAATGTGAGCATAGTGTGGAAATGTGAGTTGCGTCGAGCTTTGAACTCTGAATAACAGTATTCCTGCAGATGGAGGATTAAAATTCTCGAGGGCTATAAATGACCAAAATCTTTAGGGAGTGACAGATGAATTTGAAAGGACCTTTTATCATGATAATCCTTTAAGTGTGCTCTGTCAGGCAAATGAATTGAGGGGACCAGAAGGTAGTGAGAGGTAGGAGACTGCAATTGCATTATGTATCCTTCTGTAACCACTGATCCATATGGCAATTGTCATGCATGCCCATTCACCTCATTACAAGGTGTAGAATGTTATCACAAAGTTATTACAGCTGCAGCTGGAACAATGAGCAGGTCTCGGGTACCTTGTAATTTCTTTCTTTAACATCTATTTTAATCCCATCAGCGCTCTCTCCCTGTTTTCTTTTTTTAGGTTGCTAATAAAAAATGGCAACAACATAGACTCTCCCCCTGTGTATGACTCCTATGAAGTTGAATACTTGCCAAATGAGGGAGTGCTCAGTACCGGACGTTATCTGTTTGTGGAGTTCACCACAGACGGGACGATGACCTCCACCGGCGCAGCCATAAGATACGAAGGCAAGCTGATGAGGCAGAATGCAGAGTTTGCTAATAATATCTTGCACCATCCTTGTCACTTATGTTCAATGTCATACACTCTGTCTGCAGCTTTTGCGAAAGGGATGTGCTACGAGCCCTTTGTGAAGTACGGGAACTTCAGCAGCAGCGATTCCACCTACAGTGTGGGCGCAGTGGTCGAATTCTCATGTGACCCTGGCTACACACTGGAGCAAGGCTCTGTGGTGATTGAGTGTGTGGATGCACAAAACCCTCAGTGGAATGAGACCGAGCCAGCTTGTAGGGGTGAGTTAACAGATGTCATGATTGCAGGGCATAAAAAAAATAAAATAAAAGTGCTTCCACTGGAGAAGAACTTGGAGCAATATCAGATTGACCCGAGGACCCGAAGCTTTCATTGTCTGCTTGATCACTGCAGGAGTTAGTTTTTCTAATATTAAATACCAGTGACAGTTAACTATATCTTCCTAAGCTGCTTTCCTCTGATCCGTGATAAATTTTCTCTCAAAACTGTAACAACGATTTACTTTGAAATGTGCGCTCGCAGGGCAGATTTTCGAAGTGCTCGAGATTAAAGGCGCACAATAGCTGGCCTAAGATGAGAACTGCCACAGTTCACAGGCGACGCATCACATTTAATAGCGGCCCAACCCTGAGCCCTTCCCTTCCCCTCTCTGTTTCACTCCTCCCACATGCACATACACACAAACATGACATGCTGACCTTAGTCTTGGTCTTTAAAGCCGTCATGGTTATTCTGCAACAGAGTGAAATTGAAAAGCTCTCCAGTAAAGCTAGCTATAAGAAAATTTAATTTCTGCTCGTATGGGTCATGGTCACCAAGTGGTTCAGTGTCAGTTTGCAGTTTTGCGAGGATCACACCAAGATGCTTGCACAGCACCTGATTTCAGCTGTATTTTATTAAGCACTAAGATCACGGGCATAATCTAGCTAGACAAAATTATCTATGTACCAACATATATTTTGAGTGAATTGATTTCTAATTTGCATCTTACTTTCCTGTATCTTCAAATCTTTTACAATTGGTTTTTTCAGCCTGTACTGTTTGTGTGTTGCAGCTGTGTGCAGCGGGGAGATCACAGACTCTGCTGGTGTTGTGTTGTCTCCTAATTGGCCCGAGGCTTACGACAAGGGGCAGGACTGCATCTGGGGTATCCATGTGGAAGAGGACAAGCGGATCATGCTTGACATCCAAGTGTAAGAGACTGCACCCAGGTGTAAGACTAGAAATCACTCAGGGAGGTCAGAGAGGATGTCAGGCTCCAGATATAAACACACACACCCCTCTTGGTTATTTTCCCACCCTTTGTCTCATCTACGCAGACACACTACAAAATGCGAACAGGAAAGTGTTTCTGTGGTTGCAGTCACTAATTAGATTTTTTTTTCAACATCCCCTACATTAAGAATTCTGTGTTGCTTCCAGCTCGCTCTCTGACCAGATTAGCCAGTAAGCCTTCCTGTTCTCACTTCCCTGGTGTCTGCCTCAGAGTTGGCTTTGAAATGAATCTGCTCTGGCAGTCAACTACTCTGAGCCACTTATTCAGCCTACCCAACTGTAATTCAGCACAAATGCACAGAGATGTCAAAACAGACAGATGCGCACACAAAATCCAGGCACACTGTTTCACCTTCACCAATCACTCATGCACAAATGTCCCCTGAATGCACACACATTTTGTTTCAGTCTACACTAGTAATTGATCTTAACTGAAGTGAAAATAATCGCACAACCTTTTCTTTATGGTACGTGGAGCCTTTCTCAAAAACAAAAAACTCCGCAAAATTATATATCTTGTGCCACTGTCTTGTTATCTTTTATGGATTTATCCCTTTGCTTTGGTTGAATGATTTCCACAATATTGCCTTGCACATGCAGCCTATCGTAAGCACCAAAACTACATCATAAGTGATTCCTGTTGTTGCCTGAAGCACTTGCAAACAAGAGGGCACAGAGAGGTTAAAAATAAACCAATGGGAATACTGCCTGAGGTTGTAAAAAAAAAAAAGTCGCTGACAAATCTCAACCAGTGGCAATTGCTAGCTGTTGGTCAGAGTGGTCAATTGTGCATGCGTGCATGAATTTGTTCCCTTCACTTTTCATATTTCCCATATTCATAATTCTTTCTGAACAGTGTAATAAAATTAGGACATAATTATGAAATGAAGTCTGAGGCTGTACAGACAGATTGCAAGCTGTCCTTAATAGACAACCTCCAGAACAAATCAAATCACCATCATTACTACAAATCTACCATAGTGAACAGCAGCCAGAGGCGGCAATCATGAAGCTTTTTCACTGATTTAAATCACTCCATCATTTCAGTTAAGACATTCATGGTCACTTTTGTGGATGCATAGGGAACAGTGCTCGCTAGTTTAACATTCAGCACTAATGCACCATCTTCAATTCATTATTGTACATCCCGTGCATTAAGTCGGTAGCGGTATAACTGACGTTTGGTCAGTTGCTCAGCATTTTATTATTTGAGCTATTTAAATTTAGATTTTTTCTTATGTGGAATTTGTTTTACATATGTTTTTAATCAGGCAGTAACACAATGTGAAACATAATAAAGCCAAGAATGTGGCTCTGAGTTCCTGGTGAAGAAAGCTCCACCACTGAAAATGATTAAGTCTAGGCATAGTCATCATATGGCATTCTTATATCTGTGTATCTGAATTGTGCTACTTTGTTATCAGAGTGAGGTGGTCACAATCTACAACCAGTACTGTACTCAGGAGTGGTTCTGTTGCTATAAACTGGGACTTGACTAAACTAGAGAGTGTAAAATATACTGATAAAAATAAACTAACCTGTTCATATTTAATGTACACTAGAACAACAGTAGATATAGTAACAAATACTGTGTTCCACTGCAATGCTCATTCATCTTTTAAAAGTTGCTGAACTAAGCATAAAGATACAGATTAATATCGCCCAGCTGTGTCGTACTGAACATTTGTGTGGGCGGGGATTATTTCTGCTCATGCCCAGTTTTGTATGCTGCTGCGTGGTCTAAATACGCATCATTTCCCAAACTATATCTGTCCGGCACTGAGATATGAGCCGTCACTCAAATATGAGCCGCAGATCAAAAGGGAATAAAAGCATTAGAGGAGACCAATACAAAACAATGTCTGAACACAGCACTGAGCTTTATGTGACCCTGCATGCCACTGTGATCTTTAGATAGAGATTAAGACCCAGTGATTAATCTCTGTTATTAAAAGTCAACCAGTGCACCTAGGGTAATAAAATAAAGATCAGAGAGGATTTTTTATTTTTTTTATCACGCAGAAGTAAACAAGTTTGATTAGAGGTAAACTGATTTTCATTCAGTGCCCTCTTTTTAAATTGCACCATGCTCAAATTTCTTTTAATCCTGGCCACATGAGACTGTTCACTGTAAATTAATGGTGGTGTGGCCGGCTTTAGTTTATCTCAGGGTTGGTCATGTGTAGCTTTCCTGGCACTTGAAACCCACAGCTTGTCTGATCCCTGCGGACCCCACCATTACCTTCAAGTCTGGTCCACTCTGCTTGAGAAAAAGCATTCCTTTAGGCTCGGCCAACATGTAATTTGCATCAACGTGTGTTTGTGTGCATGCGTTTAGCATGTTAAAGTGACAAAAGGCTCTTGTGGATAAGAGTCGTCTCATTATAAGGGTGGGCACACACTTTTCTGCAGTAATGAGAATGTTTTCTGTGTTATCATTCATCACTGTGCCAGTGCTGGCAATTACAGAGGAGCAATGTGCATAATGAGGACTGATTAATTAATTTAGGCCAAACAGGAGGGCCGACTCCTTGCTAATTAGCATGGAGCATGGCTCCAGCAAGAGCCAGACACAAGGGGTTACAGCTGATATCCCCACCTGTGGAATATAGCTAGGTAAGTGGTCCGCGTGTGCTTTAGCATTGAGCATATTGTATCTGGAAGTGTGTTTCACCAGACAAAATGATCACAAAGTCTCTTTAACAGTGCTAATGTTTCAGTTTAGTGAGCAGGACTGGAGACTTTGCAGCTTGAACTTACTGGTTTTTAGAGTCCTCTTGTGGTGACTCTATACATGACATGCAACCTGGACGTCAGCTTATGCTGTGATTATGTAGGTGCCTATTTTTTATGTTATTTGAACTGAGCAGAACAATTTAAATGTCAAATATGTATGAAAAAGATGTTAGAAGGTTGCTTTTGAAAGTATGGTACCGTGAGCTATTTCCATTCTGTTAGAGTTAATAGAGATTTGCTGTGTTCTTTAAACTTGACTGGTCAGTGAAGGTGACAGAATGCCTACAGGCTTGTAGAAAACAACTGTCATTCCCTCATCTGCAGAACTGAGCCGGTGGCATTGGTATGCAGAGGAGTTTTCAGAAATTGTTTTTCAAGCAGACCTTGGAACTTTGCAAATGCCTGTGCCAAGTTGGTGAGGGAAATGTTCAGTCAAGTAAGATCTGACTAAATTTAGTCAAATAAATAATCTTTTTTAAGTCTGTCTTGCATTCTCACCCATCTTTGTTTGTGGCCAGTAGTAGTTCGTGACTGTTGTTTACCAACAAAGATCTCAGATGTTGTTGCTGTATTCCCAGAAACACAATATCTTTCGAAAATTGAAAAGAATTATGAAATCATGGATACAGAGCAAATGACTCAGGGACAACATATTTCTAAGATTAGTTACCAGTTTTCAAACCAGGACAGGACTGGCTTTTCATGACTTGGGGGCCATCTTTTAAGAAAGGAGCCATGTGGGATGACATTTGGGTGCAGTGACTGCCAGATTGGTGCGGTGTGTGGCCGAGTAGCCTGCAGTGACTTACTGTGCTGTGGATGTTTGGACTGGAGGCATCTTGCGTTTGGCAGTCTTCTGTGGTGTCACTGGGATTTTTTAATAAACTTCAGGTAGAAAGGTTAGAGAACAGATGAGGTCAGTAGGGCAATTTAAAACCAAGGTTGACCGCAAGGTTCTTGACGAGCTAGCGTGACTGAGGGGGCTATTTAGGAAGCCAGACGTGAGTGGTTTCAGTGCATCAAGTGGAAAAGTTATCCGCTGATGGTGCCCACTACAATACTGATTGTTTTTGGATATTACAACAGTGTTGAACATGATATCTAAGATCTCGAGGGGACCTAATGACGCTGAAAGGCAAAGTTGTGCACCTAATTGTTTATCAGAACGTCAGCTATGGCACTGATAAATATATTTTGATTAAAACACTTTAAAGACCAAATCACTGCCAAAACTGTGAGGAAAGATTTCTCAGATGCACTGGTTTGCACAAAGGGGGCAAAGATCAACACGGCTGAGATGGAGCTCACTATACATCATTAGTGTCAAAGAATATGGGCTGTGGTGCTGATAAACCACCGTAGTAGGAAAAAACAGGAAAATCAATCACAGTGAAAGTAGTAAAATTAGAAACTAGCTTCATTTAAAAAAAACAAGAGACAAAGAACAGCCAGTACATTGGCAACATTTTATAGTATGTGGCAAAAGGGATCAGTGGGTGTTGGTATATATTTGTGATGAGAATGCAGAAACTGGATGTAATCACACAGTATTAATACCAAATGACAGATCTACATCACTCTGGGAGGAAATCCATGAGAGCAGAGAAGACTGATAGCTTTTATGACCCAAAGGTGAAGAAGAGCTCAAACAGAAATGAAGATTCCATGCAGTGTATGCAGAATTCATGGTATTCCTCAAATAGATTTATGAGAAAGAAGAAAGTTTAAGGTCAAAAAAGTTATTTGCCTATCCTGTAGATGCCCTCATAGAAGGCACCAGGTCTGTATTTCGATAGAGTATTATCATGGAGATTTGGAAGTGAAAATTGGCTTTGTCATTCCTGTCACTTCAATCCACAGTGGTCGATTGTCAGAGAACACGGAGGTGTAAATTGCCCTCATAGTGTTCCAGCTAACCAGAGGGAGTACATTGCCACCCAAATTCATGCAGCCCACATTCATTATTTGTGTCCAGGAGGAAAACCCTGTCCAGATTTCTTCAAAAAAAAAAAAAAAGATCTACCCATCATTCTGGCCATATTGTGTTAAAATTTTATTTTGCATTATTTTTCACAGAAGCAAACCTCGTGGGGCTAATTAGATCTGCTTTTTGTTTATACTGTTAGTCAACATAAAATATTCAAGATTTATTCCTAGTCTGATTTTAACAGCAGTTTGTTTGCTCTCAGAGGAATTCTGTGGGGAGGTTCTGGGTAAAAGACAGAGTAGAAGAGAGGTCATTTGTTTCCCTTTATTATGAAACGCCGTCAATCACAGATAACATGGCCTTATCTCCTATTACAGTGTTTGTCCCAAAAAAGCTGAAATTGTCAGTGAGGATGTGGACAGGACCCCAATGTTAACTCGGGCAAGCCAAAAATAAGCAAAGATCAACCCTTTTTATTTGGCTGTTTTGAAAATGGCCAAACATATTCCAAAAGGGAACAAAACATATATCCAAAAACAATCACCACGACGATGGTAATAAGAGTATAAACTGGGTCTGAACATCGAAAAGGAACAACAGATGCTCTGACAAACCAAAGTGGAGACAGGACTATGCATAAGGACTGTATATAAAGAATATAATAGGGCTGGGGGAAAAAATTGATACAACATAAAATTGCAGTATTTTGTGTGGCAAAATTATATCTATACAGGGACACCAAATATTGGTATTTTATTAAATATTGATTAAAAAAAAACCTCTGGGGATACTATGAACAAGATGGCTCATCAAATGCACCACCATCTTGAGATAACATTAGCTGAGCAAACTTACATTAAATCGGCTCAGCCAAATTACCATCAAACACTGGACATACTTGACAAAGTTTGCTCCTAATACAGAGCAAGGTAAGAAAGCTAATAGCTCAGTCAGACGAATGAAAATTAAACACCAACCTTATTCCATCTACATAAAATCCTCGGCTCCTTGGTGATTGCATTGAATTTTTTAAACATTCTCCAACCTACTGCAGCTTGTGGTGACTGAATGTCTGCCCAGAACTTGAGTGTTGCACATCATGACAACTTAAGATCACAAGGCAGTTGCACAGATAGGAGGCAACCTTTCTGCAAACATCATAGTCTGACTTGGACTAACTTCAATCACTCTCAGAGAGATTGTCAACAGTTTGCAACTATAAATTAGTTCGCAACTAATTTATAAATGCAAACTGGTTACCAACAAGATAGGACTCGACTCAACTGCCTGCCAGCCGGTTACATTTGGTTTATATTCCTATAGAACAACACATGGTTGAATAGGTGCAAATGTGGATTTCTGTTTATGTAAACAGCAACAGGTATGCGATTTTTGACAATTCATCATTTAATTGCTTTATTATCAGAAACAGATAGCATTCAGTTACAGACTGATATCAGGCTAATAGCAGGCAGTGGCAATATTTACAGCAGGTTTTAGTGACAGTGTTGGCATGTTTGACAATTTCAAGTAATTTATTGGATAAAACAGTATTTAATTTGGGTGATATAATTTGAATTTGAACAAAGGTGAGCACAATCACAGTATATGTTTTTGCTTCAAATCTTAAGGACCACTATAGTGACCACAAAACTATGACTCAGTAATATCATAAAACTGAGGTCATCATATAAAATAATGCAAAACTGGAGCCAAAAACTCAATCAAGAACATAATCCAGAAGCTAAAAGATACAGTAAGCAAATTTGGGGATCATAACAGCAAGTCAGCTGGTAGTTGCATTTTGTCTGTCCTCAGCATGCGATTTAAAAAAATCCTGTCATGTCGTTTCAATGGCTCATGTGTGCATCAGTCACATATATCAAATCTGGTTGAGCATGAGATACTTGAAACATTCACAAACATAAAGTAGCACAAAAATGCTATAAAAGCTGTAATTTATTACTTTAGTTTTCATTCATCTTTTAACATTAAATATTTATTACACATCTGTGCTCTTTATACGCAGCATTGTGCTGCTGAGATATTTTTTATTTATTTTTTTAGAGTGTTGGCATATGTTTGCTTGAAAGTTTTTTTGTCAGTATTAATAATCAGCTCATTAATGAGATTTTTTTTAAACATTTGAGAATAGCATATTATCTCAGAGCTTATTATTATTATTTATTTGTAACATAGTCTTACTCATTTGTGTTCGGACAGTTGTTACACAACAGTCGCTTTTCTTATAGATGAGCTTGACTCAGAATTGGATATCTTAACAATATGGATATCTCTACAGTGTTACTGTAAATCTATTGCTCAGACAAATACATGTAGAAAAGACAAAGACACACCATTTAAGAACAAGCCGAAATTACATACAGCAGCTACAGAAACTGCACATTTTTGAGGCATAGTAATTTGAAACTTGTACTCTGAGCACTGTTTTCTCACCACACTTTGTGCCCTTGTTTTGTCACTTGATCTGGCACAGTAAACAGTGATGTGCAGTTTGCATTGGAGACGGCTGTAAAGACACCACTGCTGGGCTCCCATGAAGCATGTGATTGAAGGCATTGTGCTATTTTTATTCTTAATTTTTTAAATGGTACAGTTCAGTGATTATTAACACAATCAAGTTAAGTCGTAAAAACTAGCTGCACTGCTATTTCGACACCAAACTTAGTCACGGGTAAGAGCAACCATTTTCTTGTCCTCTACAGCTTATATGACTACATTTCTTCCCCCCAGTATTCTTCATACTCTGTGTCTGATTGATGCTGATGTGATTACAAAGACATATGAATTTTCCAAATGGAAAAAGGTTAATGCATTTTTATGTTAATCAGTAACAGCGAAAAATCCGCCAAACTGTAACTTGACTACCGTATACTCTATCACACATTAACATCACAAACACAACACAAAACATGTACAACTGAATTCATACGTATTTATTCATTATTTATTATCTGTTATTTTTTCTACCTGTTTCTGTAGTTCTTCTATAATTCAGTTTTTGCTTGTATGGCAGGTTTTTGTAAAAGGCCGGTAGGACTATTCAAAAAGTAATTCCTTTGGATTATTTTGATGATATGCTCAAATACCCATATATGCACATCAGTATATATTCATGGGATGCGGGGTGGGGTGTTGGGGGGCGTCAGACAGACATGAATCATGAATAATTTAATGTTTACATTGCTTCAGATGCATCTAATATAAACAAAATTGCAATTTTCCAAGGACTGCTGACACTGTCTAGTATCATCAGCTTGTGCTTTCATCAGCGTAAAGGGAGACAGAACACATTTACCAACTGAAGCTCTGTGCACAACACTCAGTGTCAGGTTTATATTGTTGATTGTCATTTATGCTTAGAAATATTTAACCATATATGCTTAGAGGTGTATAATCGATTGTGTAGTGATAGGATGTGTGATCCTTAGGAGTCTGCAAAGACTTCCTGTGCATTCCAGAGTGCTCTGGCATTCACACCCACACCCTGGGAGCATGGGAGAGGTCGTACCTTGTTTTATTGTTTTATGGTAGGATAAACATAGCTATGTCAGTTTTAGTCTAAGTGCCTTTTGTTTAGATGAACTGCTGGACTTCCAGGCCAGCAGGTTTAGGGAAGTCGCTTATGGGATCACACTCTGACACCCCCCCCACACATACTTACACAACGCACAGGCAAGGTACTCTTTGTGTGTATGAACCTATGCATATTCATATAACCACAATAAAAGGAGTGTTACAGGGAACCTGGCTGAGAGTCTGACAGAGGTCAAGTGGGTGGAACGACACTTGGCTCCAGGCAGGCCTCACGCATGCATGAGTAACACAAAGAACTTTGCCTACTTGTGTCTTGCTTTTGCTGTGTAGTAAATTGTCTTGAACGTTCCAGCGAATAGGTTTATGCTACAAACCTATCACTCAGCAAATACACCTCAGAGCCAGGGAACTCTGTCTGAATCTGCAAAATTACTAAGGGGAAAACAAACAAAAAGTAACTCCTTTTTTTTGTGATGTCAATCCTAGTCTCCATTTGGGGAAGAATGACCTGCTGACCTTCTATGATGGTGATGACCTGACTGCCAACATCCTGGGCCAATACAGTGGCACGCGACCACATTTCAAGCTCTATACCTCCATGGCTGATGTCACTATTCAGTTTCAGTCTGATCCTGCCACTAACATCTACGGCTACAACAATGGCTTTGTAGTTCACTTCTTTGGTAAGACGGTGGTTTAGTTTCATTCCCTCTTAAAAAAAACCAAAACACTAATATTACATGCTTTTAATATAAGGCATACATTCTTCTAATTTTCTTGGGATTACATATATTGTATACTTTTTACTGTAAAAGTACCACAAGCAAGGGACCACAAATGGAAACAAATGTGGAATGTAAAATGTTACTCATATCTGGAACCTAACACATCATCATTTAGGGAACAGGAAAAAAAAGAAAGGTGTATTTGTTCCCCTGTCTCTTTGTTCCCCACTCTTGCTGTGCCTTTGTCTATCTGTCTTCTGGCTTATCCCAGGTGCACAGGATTAAATAGCAACAAACACGAAACATAATAAAAGTGTTCACTTCAACATCAGCTGGTTTTACCTAACTCTTTGTGTTCCCCGCCATGTATGCTGCAGTTAGGGAGGCACAGATTGACTGGTGCCAAACCACATGCTGCGCTCCTCCTAGGAAACATCACAAGCCTCTATTTACATTTTCTTCCCAAACAGTTTCTGTTTAGAGCACAAAGAAAGCAAAAAATCTGCAGTCGTATTTATTCCCTGCAGTGGGGGTTGCATATTAATGCTCGGCGTTTTCCTTGAGGATCCTCATTATTCCTTTTAGATCTAGATCTGCTCTAAACAATAAAAAAAATGTTTGTTATACAAGAAAATGGATTATTAGGAGAATATTTATATATCCTCAGTAACACATTGTCCTCACAATCTTTGCAAATCCTTTTTTAACAACCTGTCTCTTCCCTCCCATATCTGCGCTGCATGACACCAATGGCGCCAACGCCAACAGAGGTGCCAAGGAATGACACCTGCTCAGAGCTGCCGGAGATCACCAACGGCTGGAAGAGCATGTCGCATCCTGATCTCATACACGGCACTGTGGTCACCTACCAGTGCTACCCAGGATACACACTGGTTGGCTCTGAGATCCTCATGTGTCAGTGGGATCTCAGTTGGAGCGGTGATGTGCCAAAATGCGAGGAAGGTGAGAGGAAGCATATAAAACTTTGTAGTTTCTCTTTAGTCCACCTTGGGAGTTAGAATACGCCATCATTGGTCCAAGTCTCAGACCTTTTTGCTTAAATATTATGATAACATGGCTAATTATAGTCTTGTTACCATAATACCTGGTTAATTAGTTAGTTTGATGTAACTGTGTTATTCTGTGACTGTTCAACTTTAATACATAACATGAGGATGCATTGTCATGTGGCAAATAGTTAACAATATTACATTTAGGGAACAATATTTAGTGCAGCCGGTGCACTTCCTTTGCACAACAAATTCAATGTAATGTGCATATATGTAATTGCCCCTCATAAGGTTTTTCCAGTTACCCAAGAAAAAAAAATCAAAACAATATCAAATTGAATATTTTTCCTTGTTAATTATACTTTTTATCACTCCTGTACCAGCACCGGTGGCAGTAATAACTAATTATCATCACTTGTTTTTGGTGTTGCACCAGTGATGACATGCCAGGACCCCGGGAATGTGCAGCACAGTCGTAAAGTGATCACAGGCAGTCGCTTTGCTGTTGGATCGACTGTACAGTTCATCTGTAACAAAGGCTACATCCTGTCAGGCTCCAGCCTTCTAACCTGCTACAACCGTGATTCAGCTATGCCCAAGTGGAACGAGAGACTGCCCAAATGTGTCCGTAAGTTCCCTCAGTCAGAATAGCATAGATTCGCAGACATGCAATTATGCACGCCCACACTGTCAGCGATGTGCAGCTAAGCAATTATGAGTAAAAGGCAAAAATTACAATGTGTCACTGTTTTTACTGTACAAAGGTGCATGAAAATAATAATAGTCCTAATCAAATATATTGTACTGCTCCTCAGCTGAAAAGTATGAGCCATGCAGGAATCCCGGTGCAGCTTCCACCAGCATGCAGAGCTCTGAAAAGGCTTTTTATCAAGCAGGAGAGATGCTGACTTTCTCCTGCCACCCCGGCTATGAGCTGCAGGGTTATGCCACCATATACTGTGTTCCTGGACACCCGTCACAGTGGAATAGCACTCCTCCTGCCTGCAGAGGTAAACCACGTAACAAGCTTTTAAATACAGTCAAAATATACAAAAAGTAAAGCAGAATCTCAACAGTTTTAAGTGCTGTTTACAAATGCAGGTTCTTTTGATTCTTTTGGCCATAAAAATAAAGCATGCACTGTGATTCACATTGCATAAATATGGTCTACATACTCATTAAACTGCAATTATTTCTTGGTAGCGTCCTCGACACATTATGTAAATGAACGCAGACTAGATGGTAAGTCATATTTCAGTACCTTGCAGAATTGATTGATATTTATTTGTTGACAATCATTCACAGGGGTAATTACATGTTATGTCCTTTTTTTTTTCTTCTTCAAGTTGTTAATACAAATTATGGCACAGAAGGAACCAACATTGCCCTTGCAGTATTTATTCCAACTGCAGTCATCTTGGTGATTGTCCTTGGGATTTACATCTACTTTGCAAAGTAAGTAATGACTCAAAATTTTATGCGTTTCCCTTGTAATAAAGGCTTTACATGATGTTTCCTGTTTCTGTACTCTTTGCTCAGACTCCAGGGAAAGTCTATCAGAATGCCAATGTCCTCGCCACCGTATGACAACATGACAGAAGAGTCTGCTTTCGACAACCCCATATATGAGAGTGGAGTAAGTACAGATGTCATGAGCATGCAAGACGTGGATTCACAGAACACCAGCGTGCTGTCCTGATCTTTTCCCATCCGGATGTCATCCCATCGTCATCTCATGTCTCACCAGCAGAGGGCGCCCTCACACCTTTCGTCATCATGTCACTCATCACTGAGAGCTAGTGGTCTGAGCTGTGAGATAGGAACATTTTTCCTCACTTTACTCTGATGTCACATCTCATTTGCATCCTGGATTTCCATTCTATCCTCTCAGAGAAGTGAGAGTGCTATGTTAGAGCTCATAGTGGTAACTTTTACCCAACTTTTCCCTAAAAGTTGTGGTGCTGTGTAATGCTGATTTGGGGGCAACAGTAGACTAAATACAAAAACAAATTAAATTATTTTTTTTAAAAGAGTGTTTTAGCGAGATTAAGAAATGCTTCAATGTGAGAGACAGTATAGATAAAGAACATTTAAATGTAATTTACCAACATGTATTTCCAATACTGCATAATAACATCATGCTGTTGTCAACCACCCAGAAAGCATTGCTTTAAAATGGTTCTGTAGCAGAAATCCATTCACACGTTCAGGAACACTTTCAAAAGCCATTATTGTTACTGCATCTACAAATCTAACACCACAGTACAAAGGAGGCCTTTAATTTTCAACACTTTACATGTTGCCTCTGTACAGGTTTCATTTAAATATGGCTTTTAAAATTATTTGGAAATCACTCTGTTTTGTTTTGATTTACATTTTACACAGCATCACAATTTCTTTTGGAAATGATATAGTTGTATGTTTATCATGCTATATGCTGCAGTCCCCGTGTGTGTATAAAGGTACAGTTTGCTGTAAAATCTAGCAAATGAAATCTAGCAAATGAACTTGTGCTGTGACGTTAATTAGCCTTAAACTAGCATATACCTATAAAGTGTACTTTAACCTTTGTAGTGAGAAGAACCTAGAATTACATAAATGGCTATTTTTATTTAAAATAGATATTTAGTTTTTATACATATTCTCAGTCTTCTTGAGGGTATAGTTACCAGCTGATTCATAAGTCAAAAGGTACACAAGGTACATAATATATGCATAGGCTGTTGTGACAATAGTAATTCTATGACTCTATTCTCTCTTCTTTGCTCCTTCAGCACTGGCAGACTCATTCTAGATACTAAATCCTGTCATTATGTCCAGTTTGGCTGTACTGCAGAACAACTATGAGGTGAGGTCTCCTTCTGATTCTGAGATCTCATCTTACTCCAGTACCCCGACCGTTCAACGATCTGTTTTTGACTTTATCTCGATCCTGCCACTTACTCACTTTTTGTCTGAAGATTTTTTTTTCTCTTAAGAACCACTGGTTGGTGAGAATTTGGAAAGACATTGTCGGTCTGTCATGAAATATGTAACATATTGAGAATGAAATGCTAAATCATGTTTGTCTATACCTAAATAATGGATAACAGATAGGCTACTTAATAAAAAAGAAATATCCCCTTGAAGATGCTTTGTCTATCACTGCATTTCAGTGAAGTTCACAATGTTGTGCTGTTATTGAACAACAATTTTATGTGTGGCTATAACATCTATGTATGTCATATGCAGACTTGTCAAACTTCTTTTTAGTATTGTCTTTATCAGCACCCTGCTTTACTGTTTATAAGTGACAATTGTTTACTCACTTTCATCAGAAGAAAAGTTAAAATGACCATAAGCTGATGATAGACTTTTTTTTTTTTTTTGGTAAAAGCTTTAGCAGTGGTATTTGAAAAAAAAAAAAACATGTAGTGGCAATCCATAGCTGCCCACCTAACAAACATTTCATAGGCTTTTTTTTTTTTTACTGTATCATTGCCATTGCAGCCTGTATTTTCTTATGTTCAGTTTAATAAAATGTCCAGGACTGATCACCAACACTTTATACATCATCTAACTACTTGCTTTCATCTAAGCTCGCACTGCTCATTTTGACAACATTGAATCAGAATGGTAATAACATCTATTAGAAAAGAGATTTGCTGTAATAATTAACAGCTGTATTATAAGGAGGAGCATATATGCACTTCACAAGCTGTACCACCCTCAATAATTTCCTGGGTTTTTTTAAAATTATTATTATTATTTTTAAGCAGATTGCCTTGTCTGATCTGTACAGGATGAATGAAAAAGGTTAAGAGTGTTCCATTTAGAGCACAAGTAAGAATTACTCAATTTCTTTGGACCATCTCTGCACTAGTCATCTTTTACTCCAATATTCTTTTTTTTTTCTTTTTTCCTCCCCATTTTACCTATTTTGTGTATTACTGTAAATATTTCTTTCTCTCCACAGTCAAATCGGTTAATCTGTGGGACATCATGGTGATATTTTTCTAAAGTAAATTGTTGATGACTGTCAGTGATTGAATGTTTTCGAGTCCTTTTTATCGCCTCGAGTCAGTGGCAATTAGAGATTGGAGGAAATCTGGCTTTGATTGTTCAGCTCTGTTGGATACAAAGGCCCCATCCACCCAACAGACTTTGAAAAAAATAATTGCCATTATTACTTGCTTCACTTTGTATGAGTCTGCTATCTGTAAATAGACTGCCTGTCCAATATGAGTGCCTCACGACTGACTATAACCTGAGTCATCACATGTGAAAATAACAGGTACATGAAAGATTCATTCAAGATTCATTTACTTTCACTTATGATTCATTTCTATCTTAATGTTCATGATTAAGGGATTTAAGAAATGATCCTGGATATATTACTATGAGCATTTGTGTAGTTCTGACTGCATACGGCCTCAGAGGATTTCTCAAATACATGTTTTCATTCAGGAACCATTAGCTATGCATACCGCTCTTCTCCTATCACACTGTAAAGTCTGCCTTAAAGGATAAACATCAGCTAGCTAATTTGTGTATGTTACAAAGTGTAGTTGCACCACATCATTAGCATCCTAGGACAACAATCCTCAAAATCTAGTGAGTGCATACAGTAATCAGCTCACATCCTGATCCATGTCACTGAGTCACTGCTTTACAAAACAATTGAAATCCTGCAGTGTGCAAAATAAATCCCTGTGCAACAGATGGTTGTTTACTTGGGGTCATGTTGTGGTGCATCTGCCTGTGTTCAATTTTGTAGATAGATCTCATCTCCTTTGTGCAAATCCTTTCTGTTCTAACAAATCTTTCTTTCAGTATCACAACTGCTGTGACCACATACAGGAAACTGCTTCATCTTTAACTATCTATAACCCTCTCAAAAAAATAAATTAAATTGTTACATAAGTATTGTCACTGACTCATTAATGACTAAACTTGTGTTTTAAACTCATAAAGAAGTCCTTACCTGATATAATAACAGGGCAGACACGTAACATTATATGTCGGTTATGTTGTTTAACAAAAAAATAGGAAGAGCCCACTTTAAATAAGTAGCAACAATAGTAATGAGTAAACAATATAATGCAGTTATATCTAAAATACAAGCATTTTGTTTATTCTAAACTATCAGAGGGAATGAGACTATATTTCTTTTAAAATACATGAGGGGGTTACCTGATATTTGGGGCTTTTTGATATACTAGTTAAACAAATGAAATGCCTGCTAAAAACGTCAATTCCCTGTGTATATTTGATCACTCACACAGTAAAGACATAAAGTATTTCTGCTCAATATAATCTACGTTTGACCTTTTTTTTATCTTATCTTATCTGCGCAATTCCTGGTGGTTTTTCTATCATGTCAGATTATTCTTAGACTATGATCCTCTATTTTGATTGAATGATGGTTAAATGTATCTAATAAAATAAACATGTGCTTCAATCCAGAAGATTTATAACCATGTCAAGATTTTGTGTTTTTGTGCTTATGTGCATAAGAACCTGTTGTTTTTTTGTTCTTTCTTTCTTTTTTTCCTGTTCTCAGTAAATCATTTGGAAGCAGTCACCCATGATTTCAGCTGAGCTTTCACTCTGATGCTGGGGACATGGAGCAGCTTGAGCCATTAAAATGTAAATTGCCTGTGCAGTCTGAGGAAGAGGGCCAGAACAGGGATCTACTCATGCATTATGTTGTTGTCTTTACTTTACACGTTAATCATTGACAGAACAACGCAGTGTCTGCTGTCAGGGACAAGAAAAAGAAGAAAAAGAAGAAGGAAGGTACTGAGAAAAGTATAAAAATGCACATATGCAAACATGGCAGTGCTGGGGTTTTAATGCTTTGCATGTATTCATTTTAGAAAAGGAGTGACAAAATAGTAAACTTCTCCTAATGAAGTAAAACACATAGATTGCACATACGATGGAGGTGGCCACCTTGGCATGTTTTTGCCACCATGTTGGCATTTTTTGGCGCCACAAGCAGTCAATATTTGGAGATCTTAGAGGAATGCTAATATATTAGCTAATGCTAAGGTGTTCTTTTAGCAAGCTGCATGCAGCACATACACAAAATAGAGACATAAACATATTAGATATTTCCATTTAAAATGGCCAAAGGGATGCCACCACAACCTGCACAGTGGAGAGGTCCAGAGCATGGGAGGTCAACAAGGCAGCTTCAGCTACAGCTGCTTGTGTCAGCACAGCTGTCAGTCTAAGTAGCTAACTAACTTTAAGCCTTATTAGCATCCAAAAGGAAGAGTCCATAAAGGAAGGGGGGGACTGTGTGTTGTCAGCATTGCAGGCACGTCTAGTGTATACAGCAGTCAGCCTCACTGCGCACAGAATACATTCAATGTACAGAGGATTTTATATTCTAGCATCCGATGAGCCAATACCAATTGTGGTGGTAAAATGTATAAGTGCTTTTGTATACTTTTTTTTTTTTTTGCATCAGTCAGCAGCATGACTGTCCTTTGTTTGGACTTGGTTATCATCAATGAGGAGTTATTTTGCTAAAACTCCAGCAGATGGCAATCTACTACTGAGTCTGCTGTGAAAAGAAGGTCGACATGATGAAGACCGTCACCAACACTCACTACTTCTACACTGCACTCATGGTGGGCTCACAATTAAACTGAAATGCCCTGCCTACAATCCAATGGAGACCTGGACATGGCAATTAACCCACTAATACTGCAGACCATTAGACCTCCCTCTCTGTGTCAGCAGTCCCAGTGCATACAGTACACTTACTAACAGACTGGGTATAAATGACAAAAGATAGTTTAATGTAATGACCCGTTTGAGAGTCTAGGGTACAGTGTGCACTCATCTTTGTTAAGCTGCAGCTGGTTATTTACGCAGTAGAAATGCATTTCAAGACAAATTTCACTTTTACCTAAATTGTATGTATTCAAATTAAAATAATTAGGTTTCCAGATGTACAAACACTATCATATGGAGATGTACACTATAAGAGATTAGTATTTTAGTAATATTATCTTAGGAAAACAAATTATATTAGCTACTGCATAATATTTGAAATTTAATTGAGTATTTAAAGCTTTGACATTTGTCTCTGAGACTTCTTTCCCCACCTGTTTTAGCTGAGATAGACAGGCAGCTCTCCCTTTTAATCTGATGTTTGTGACTGCAGTGGAGAAGAAACAGCAAATAAGCAATAAAACTACTACACACTGTCTCACATCTCTTGCTTTTCTCCTCACAAACCTTACTTAATCTTATGTAGCCTTTAAGCAAAACAATAAGTAGGGAAGCACTTTGTTTATCAGTGACAATACTAAAATCTTTTTTTCTTTCTCTGAATGAAAGCATCCGACTTGAAACAAATGCAACCACCAGACTTAAGTAACATAAGTACAGTTTTACTTCACTGACATTAAGCGTAAAGGGAGGGAATATGAAAATGAATACTCAAAGAGGCTTCCTCTTTTTTCTTTATCCCCTCAGTTCTAGTTTTCATGTAAAACTATCTTTAATCTGCTACAGTGCTGCATTTGTTACAGTCCCTGGGGACCAGTAGCTGATGAGGCAGGCAGCCATGTCATATCGCTCAGACAGGACTCACGGTTGTTATTACAAACTGCAGCCTCAGGAAGCCATTTTGCGCAAAACAAAGGGTAAAACCCTCCAAGCCTCTGGTATTGCTTGATGTGGCAAGATGCCAAATCTCACTCTCCAGCATATGCAGGGGGTCTGGGCTTCCCTAGCACACGTTGATCACTGAGAGTCGTGTAAACAAAGAACTGCCTGAATTAGATATCATCTTCAATCTCCAGAGCCACAAATGATTTTCCTAGCAGAAACTATAAACTAATGTAAAGTCAAAGGTGAAAATGTGCAGGAAAAACACCTTCTTCTGTGATTATCTTGATTTATTTTGACTTATAAGGAAGAGCTTAATAGTATGCAGTATTTTTATACTTCTTATCATAGAACCAGATGATTACAACCAAGTAACAGGACGGTTCTTTAAGTAATTAAAACCTTATTTGCAAGTGGGATTCACCGGTACTCTTTAGAAAAGATTGTACTCTGTATGTTGAGTATTAGAAAACACACAGCTTTATTGTTGCATCGTTTCAGTACAGTACAAGGATGTAGCCTTACATGCTGCTTATAGAGTTTGTCTTCACCTCTTCCTTTAGCACTTCTAGTTCTGTAGCACTTGTAACCAAATATCTTGACCTTTCACATATTATGATCTTGTGAAATACATACATACATACATACATATATATACATGAAACATATATATGGTGTTTTAATGAGAACTTTAATTATTTTCTAAAATGAATATAAGGATGCTGGGAGCCTCCTTTGAAACTAGTTGTCTTGTGAATCCATATGGTGTACCCGAACCATGAAGGTGACAAGGCAGAGTTATGCATGGAAATTAATGTTGAAAGGAATAAGAAGATGCATGGTTGAGTGGATGTTTTGAAGACTATGTAAAACGGATAGATGATGATGATAACAATGGTGGGGATACGCTGAGAAGCTGAGGCAAACAACAAAGAGTGGCTAACTTTAGTTAATGTGAGCTTTGTAAGCTCTGCTACCTTTAGAGGTGCAAATGTTTCGTATTTTGTAAAATCAAAATGTATTTATACAAGCTGAGAAAAATAATTTATGATTAGAGTTTTTAATGATACTGTGGTGTAAACGTAGGAAGTGATATTTGATTTCCCAAAGACTATGAAACCATTGGGTCAGCACCTTCTCGGTATATTCAAGCAATGGTACATGCTGGTCAGTTTCAATCGCTGACTATGTGTGCAGCTTCCCAAGTGTGTTACTTTTGTGCAAGCAGATAGCCTTAAAGTGTTAATGTGTAGGTGTATGTGTGTAAGGCAGAGAAATCACATCAATGTATTATCTGAGGTAGAGCAAGATAGGACATGTCTTCCAGGATGCTGGGCAGGCTTGAGATTGAGGGGTCTGAACAGAGAAGGTACAAAAGCGAGAGAGCCAGAGGGCGGAGGCGAGTGGATGAGCCGGTGAGATGATAATGCAGCATGACACCTCTGAAATGAATCCCTGGTTACCATGGCAAAAAAAAAAAAAAGAAGAAGAAGAAAAGATGGGACAGTCTCTCAGGAGCCTCAAATAAAGCCAGCTCTAAATGATATTTGATTAGTATTTAGATCATGTTCCTGTTCAGCAGAAGCATTTTGTCAGCTGTTTGTGCACAAGTACCTCCAGTTTTGTAGTTACTATTAGTGATCCCTTTTGATTCAGTGATATGTAGCATGGTTTGAATAGATGTTTGTTGTTTAAGAAAATCTTTTTTTATTCTTTATTCACATGGTCTTGGATGTTTTTGCTTTCAGAGTGAGATTTTTGGAGAGATAAATTCAGTAGTTTCTATTAAAACTATTAAACATGTTGCTGAATACGGAACCAGGAATTCTATTTCTTTCATTCTTTAGCCTTGTCATTCACCCATCAGAAATGTAATTATTAACCACATATGTACTTCTTTGAATGTTTTCAAAGCAGCATGTCTGTGCATTGTCATATCATAGCTTTTCCAGCCTACATGTAAATTTGCAGCATTTATTTATGTACGTCAACATGTAAAATAGATTTTATTTGATCTATTTGACAGTCAGCTGGGGCATCTTTACATATCGTTGCATCACAGAGAAAAGGAAAAAAACATGTATATAGTAATTTGGCTTTTTGTGTATCCAGTGGAGTGTACAAAAGGTCATATTACCAAAGTCAATATAAAGTATAGCGATGACATTTTTTCAGAACACATTGCAGTTGCTGAGTAATGTAAAGTAAAGCACAGCAAATGTCACAGCTATTTGGAAGCAATATTCCATTATGTCTGAATTACTGAATTGCATAAATGTCAGGTAGAGTGTATAGCAAAGTTGGATT